CCCCCCCCCAGCCACCGTGATGTCCTGGGGACTGGGGTCCCCTCCGTACCCCGGGGGGGTCCGCACGGTGTGGCCGGCGCTGTCTCACGCCCCCCCTCCCCACCACCACCCGGTCCTGCCCAGATGAACCGGCCGGCGCAAGCAGCGGCGGCGGCACACACCTTCTTTGTGGCCAACCCCGGGCACCAGGAGATGAGGCAGAACCTGGAGTACTACCAAGCCATGGCAGGCGTCCGTGAGGATGACTTCACCGACCTGGAGGCCAAACCCCACCTGGTGAGAACCCCCCCACGTCTCCCCTGCCTTGAACAACCGCTCCCAAAACACCCAGCCGCTGCCGGACCTGGGGAGGTGACACCGCCGCTGTTGGCTCGGCAAGCTCATGAGATGCCACCTTGGTGCTGGAGGGCCGTCCCGTGGGGACAAGGCTCCCCAGGCACTCCACCGCAGGGAGCGGGGCGCCGAGTCCCCACCATCGTTTCTCATCCATCTGCAGAGCGAGTTTAGGCTGGGTGTCCGGTTTTACACAGAGGAGCAACCGGCCGCTGCCATCCTGCACCTGGAGAAGGCGCTGGAGGAATATTTTGTGGCAGACGCCGAGTGCCGCGCGCTCTGTGAGGGACCCTACGACTATGAGGGCTACAACTACCTGGAGTACAATGCGGACCTTTTCCAGGCCATCACAGGTGGGAGCCGTGCGTGCTGTGTCCCGTCTCAAGAGTTGGGGACAATCCTGGGGGGGGGGGGGTCCCCAAGAGGGCAAATGCCATCCTAGGCTTCACTAGGAGGAGCGTGGTCAGTAAGTGGCAGGAGGTGTTTGCCCATGCTTAGCGCTTGGGGTGATGCCCAGGAATCCCCCAAATTGCAGAGGGATATGGAAACACAGGAGAGGGGCCAGCCGAGGGTCACCAGGACGCAAGGGTGGGAGGCTGAGGATGGCCGCTCTGTCTCCAGAGAGCGGCACAGCCCCACCACTGATCACACGGAGGTGGGCAACCACCATCCGTGAGGCTTTCCACCGCCGAAAAGCTGGCAGCAGCCCCACTGGGAGCAGGAGGTTGGAGCTGAGACCCCTCAAGGACCTGTCCACCAGCCCTTGGGTGACCACAAGCAGTGACATGGGGTTTTTCTCCACCAGATCACTACATGCAGGTGCTAAGCTGCAAGCAGGGCTGCGTTACGGAGCTGGCCTCGCAGCCCGGCCGGGAGAAGCCTTTGGAGGATTTCCTGCCCTCGCACTTCAACTATCTCCAGTTTGCCTACTACAACAGTAAGCAGCTCGTTGCCCCATCTTCCATTGGCTGTCTGTGCTGGACATCATGCTCTGCAGGGGCCGTTTTTCATGGGCAGAAATCGTAGACTCACAGAATGGTTTGGGTTGGGAAGGGACCTTCAAACATCATCTAGTCCAACCCAAGATGCAGGGACATCTTGCACTAGATGAGGTTGCTCAGAGCCCCGTCCACCCTGACTTGAACGCTCCCAGTGACGGGGCATCCGTAACTTCTCTGGGCAACCTGTACCGGTATCTTGCCACCCTCATCGTAGAAAATTTCCTCCTTATGACCAACCTAAACCTACCCTCTTTCAGTTTAAAACCGTTGCCCCTTGTCCTGTCACTACAAGCCTTGGTAAAAAGTTGTCTCCATCTTTCTTGCAAGCCCCCTTTATATATGGAAAGGCTGCAAGAAGGTCTCCCTGGAGCCTTCTCGTCTCCAGGCTCAACAACCCCAACTCTCTCAGCCTTTCTTTGTAGAGTGTTCCATCCCTCTGACCATTTTCACGGCCTCCTCTGGACCCTCTAATGGGTCCATGTCCTCCTTGTGCTGTGGACCCCAGAGCTGGACACAGTGCTACAAGGTGGGATCCCGTGAGAGTGGAGTAGAGGGGGAGCATCACCTCCCTGGACCTTCTGGCCACACTTCTTGTGATGCAGCCCAGGATATGGCTGGCTTTCTGGGCTGCGAGCGCACGTTGCTGGCTCATGTCCAATTTTTCATCCACCAGTATCTCCAAGTCCTTCTCCACAGGGCTGCTCTAAACCCATCTCTTTACTGATACTGGTGGAGGACCTTCCACTTGACCTTGTTGAACTTCATGAGGTTCACACAGGCATGCTCCTCCAGCCTGAAATGTTCTGCAGGAGATCTGGATCTCGCTGAGCCTCTCTGCAGTAACCCTCCCTGTCGCTTTAGATGCTCAATTCCTGGGCAGCTTTGCTTTCCAAGTGAAACAACAGCCTAGAGAAGCTTTTTTTTTTTTTCTCCCTCCAGGTATCCCCATCTTGCTCCAAACCACAGAGGCACCCTCCCCTCCAGAACTGTTAGTTATAACCCAGAAAAATATACCCCATTTTACTTTATTCACCTCCTTAGAAAAATCTAAACTGTTTCTGTGCAAATTTCTCCAAAAGGAGGGAAAAAAAGATGAAGTCCAAGAAGATTGAAAGGCTGTGTTCCTTTGCATGAAAGTGGGTCAGGGTGCTTAAGTGGCTGAAAATTGCAGGTTAGCCTGGAAATGGTTGGGTCTTGCTGCCTGGAAATAGGCTTCAAGATGTTGTCCAAGCAAGAAAACTACCCAAGCAGTGGCCCTGATTTCTGGTGAGGTGATTTCTGGAGGCAGGATAGCACCTCAGACTCTTCATTTTTGCCCTTGTGGCAGCAGTTATCTTTGCTCCAGGGTATCTGCCCTGCTTGGGAGACCCTTTGGAGAACAATGATGACTTTCTCTCGTTTCTCCTCCATATCCATGTTTGCTCTGTCTCTGATGCTCTTGGACGTGCTGTTAACAGCCCGGCTTCTCTTTGCAGACGGGAATTACGAAAAAGCCATTGAATGCGCCAAAACCTATTTGCTCTTCTTCCCAAACGATGAGGTGATGAACCAGAATTTGGCCTATTACACTGCCGTCCTGGGGGAAAACCTGGCAGGACCCATCCAACCTCGAGAGGTGAGCGACTGGCTGGGCTGAGCTGTTCAAGGGACATCTTCTCCCCTCCTTGGGGACCTCTGCAGAGGTTTTGGGGTCTGCTCTGGTCGGGTTTGCTCTGGTCCAGCCACGCTTCAGTGGCAAGGTGGAGAGGAATGGATGGATGCAAGACCCAACAAGCTGGAAAACAGCTGAGAGACTGAAAAACATCACTGGCAAAATGTCTTTGGCCAAGTGAAGGCTTGATGGCTTGCACAAATGGACCAGCTCTTGTGGGAGAGGTCTGTGAGAGGCAGACGGACAGGCTTTTTAGGAGGCTCTGAGCCCACCTCTGCTACAGACTTCTACAACTGAAGTGGAATTGCTTAAAAAGGAGAGGATTTGGCTTCAAAACAGCTGGATCCGGATGCTCGGGTGCTGCCTGGGAGGTGGTAGGCAGGGATGGAGGTCTCTGCCCCACATCAGCTGGAGCAGGGAAGGGAATCTGCTTCTGAAAAGCTTCCCGCAGGAGGGACACGCGTGTGCCTCTGTCTCCCCCATCCTCTCCCCAGGGCTCATCCACACAGGACAGGGAAGTTTGTGCAGGATGGGGAAACCCACTTGCTTCCTGGCTGCCAGAGGGACTGGGAAACCAGGGCTGCGGGTCCAGCGCAAGGACCATGGGAATGATGTAAACGCTGCACCCTCCTGCCCTCGCTCGGGGTCTTTCCAGAACCCTCATGCCGTGCCCTCACCTGGTCCCTCTGCCCCTCATCACAGGAGATCCAGGAATACCGCCAGCGAAGCCTGATGGAGAAGGAGCTGCTCTTCTTCAGTTACGACATCTTCGGTATCCCCTTCGTGGACCCGGTGAGTGGTGCTGGACCAGGCTGGACGCAGTGGCCAGTTGGAAAGGGGACAAGGGGTCTGCATCCCAGCCAGATCCTTGTCCGGCTCCTGATGTTGTTGTTCTGGCTGCAGGACACGTGGACACCTGAAGAGGTGATACCAAAAAGGCTGCGAGAGAAACAAAAGTGAGTGCTCTCCCAGGCTGATGGCCAAGGCTACGCAACGGGGGGACCAATGGGATGTACCCCTCTTCCTCCGTGGGGTTTGGGCCAAAGACCGTGGCCATGGAGCTGCCACCAGGGAGGTTTTTTGGTGTTGGGGCTGGAAGAGGCTGCTGGACGGCAGAACTTTGCTCCCCATAGGCCCTTGGGTGACGGGGATGGGTAGGTCATCCCGAGCAGCTCAGGGTGAGGGCTGCGTTGAGATAATTCTCTCCAGCCTTGGGCATTGTCACCAGCCCCTGGAGACAACTTGTCCTGCCCTTGTCCTGATCCCCCTCGTTGGGTTGATGGCTGCTGCATGCCCAGGGCGGAGCGGGAGACGGCAGCGCGGATCTCGGAGGAGATTGGGAACCTTATGAAGGAGATCGAGACGCTGGTGGAGGAGAAGGCCAAGGAGTCTGCCGATATGAGCAAGTTCATCCGAGAAGGTGCGGACGGCCAGGAGGGGAGGTGGGATGGGGACCTCCGTGTCCCCCACTGCCAGCTCACGGTCCCTCCACGTGGGTGGTGGCAGGAGCAGGTGGCAGGACCACAGCTTCCCACAGCGCTGTACCCCAGGGTTGGTGGCACCCATCCCTGCGTCCTCCTGATCCCATTTGTGCCACAGGTGGCCCCTTGGTGTACGAAGGAGCCAGTGTCACCATGAACTCCAAGACCCTGAACGGCTCCCAGCGCGTCGTGGTGGACGGAGTCCTTTCTGCTGAGGAGTGCCGGGAGCTGCAGAGACTCACCAACGTGAGCACGGGGATGGGAGGAGCGGGCAGGGGATGCTGAAGGGTCCCATCCTGCGGCTCAGAAGTCAGACCTGTAACACCAATTGGGTTTTACAGGCAGCTGCCTCGGCCGGGGACGGCTATCGTGGGAAGACATCTCCTCACACTCCCAGCGAGACCTTCTATGGCGTGACTGTCCTCAAGGCCCTCAAGGTTAGGGTGGCTGTGGGGAGGGGGGAGAAACAGGCTGTGGAGACAAGGGAGAGGGGGGGTTTGAAGGCAGGCAGCTGCCCGTGCTTGCCCAACCCACCTGGGGCTGAGCCCATGTCCTTTCTGTCCCCCGCAGCTGGGCCAGGAGGGCAAGGTCCCCCTGCAGAGCGCCTACCTCTACTACAACGTGACAGAGAAGGTGCGGCACATGATGGAGTCCTACTTCCGCCTGGAGGTCCCGCTACACTTCTCTTACTCCCACCTGGTGTGCCGCACAGCCATCGATGGTGAGCATGGCCTCGGAGGAACACAGCCTGAGGAGAAGCGAGTCTCCTTCAGCCTCTTGTCCTGTCTGGGTTCTCTCCAACAGCTGGAGTGGTCTGGCCTTGGACCTTTCCTTAGAGACCTCCTTGCTGCTCCCTAACCTGCTCCTTTTCCCAAAAGGAAGGCGTTGGGGAGCTTGTCCCTAAGCCCAGTTTGGGATGATGAGCAGCTCTGTTGGTTGCCTCTAAGGGGCAGGTGGCTTCATGCCGTACCGCATTTCAGCACCTGGAGGCATTTGGGATTGGGTGCTGGGAGAGGCTGTGTCTGGAGGGCCATGGAGATGCCATGGGACAAGTCAATGGGGGCTTGTGCCCTCCAAATGGCCTCTCATGGTCCATGCTCCAGCAAGTGGAAGGGCTTTAGGCTACACATGACTTTCTTGTCACCTCCAAGCACATGGTGCTTGGGGACGGAACCCGGTCCTGCAGGGACAAAGGGGTCCTGATGTGCCAGGTCTTCTTCCACCCTAGAGAAGCAAGAAGGCCGGAGTGATAACAGCCATGAGGTGCACGTGGACAACTGCATCCTCAACGCGGAGGCCCTGGTGTGCGTGAAGGAACCTCCAGCCTACACCTTTCGGGATTACAGGTACTGGTGGTGTCCATCAGCCAGAGCTTCCCCACCTGAGGGCACCATGGCTTGGTTGGCACCTGGGGTGGGAGGACAGCCCAGCCCGGGCTCTCCTGCCTCTGGCTCTTGCCGTGGCATTGGGGGTAGTCCCAGTTGCTGGAGCTGTGGCCTGGGGTGATGGTCGTCACCTCCACTTGTCCCCTGCTTTGTTTAGCGCCATCCTCTACCTCAACGGGGACTTTGAAGGAGGAGCTTTCTACTTCACCGAGCTGGATGCCAAGACGGAGACCGTAAGTAGCTCAGCTCCTTGAGGATCCACATGCAGCACCAAACCCCTGGCCCTATCCCCTGTGCCACCGCAAGGGATGAAGTTGGGTTGGGGGGGACCAGCTCACCCCCTTGCCCACCGAGTGCATCCTGACTGGGGTCTCCCATCCATGACAGGCAGAGGTTCAGCCGCAGTGTGGCCGTGCCGTGGGCTTCTCCTCTGGCTCGGAGAACCCCCACGGGGTGAAAGCCGTAACCAAGGGCCAACGCTGCGCCATCGCCCTCTGGTTCACCCTGGACCCTCGACACAGCGAGCGGGTAAGCCCCCTCCCCAGCAGCGGGTGGGTTTTTTTGGGGGGGAACAATGGCCGTGCTTATCCCCCTGGGTCTTGCCCCACAGGAGCGTGTGCAGGCAGACGACCTGGTGAAGATGCTTTTCAGTACAGAAGAGGGAGATTTGCTGCCAGAGACGGAGCCGGAGCAGGAGCCGCCAGCTGCCGTCGCGGGGGGGAAGGACGAGCTGTGATGTCCCATGGGGACCAGGACGTCCCCCCCGGGACTAGCGACACCAGCGTTGCGGCTTCAGGCTGCTCAGCCTTGGGGCTGATGGACAGGACCCCCCCTCTGCCCCCAACCGACGTGGGATGGGGAATTGGGGGATGCCCTGCACCACCCCTGCGGCATCCAGCATCCCCCCTGCGGAGCTGACCTGGGGGTACCGCAGAGACTCTGGGGGGAGGTGGGGGACAAGGGAGGGATGCTTTTTTAGGGGTGAGGACCCGGTGCCACAGTAGCAGACACGTGCCTTGCTGCTCAGCTGAACCTGCGGCTATTTAAGTGCCTTCTGCAGAAAATGGGTGAATAAAGGCGGGGGTTTTTTTTCTAAGCTGTCACCTGCTGAGCAGGGGGGGGCAGAGGCTGCTGTCCACCCCGCCACCTTGGCTGTCATCTGGTGGTGGGACACATCCTTCCCTCCTTGGAAACATATACCTGAGGGTTTTGCAGCCCTGCAATCCCAGGAAGGCATTTTTGGGAGGACAAGGGGGACTTTTTGAGGGGCAAGCAGGTGCCACGGGTGCTGCAACCCCTACATAAGCCCCACAGCATCCCCTAGACCCTGCTCCTGCAGCGTGGGAAGGGACCCACGATTTTAGGGAGGGAACCGTCCTTGAACAAGAAGGACATTGAGCACCGTGGCACCCCCCAAACAGGGCATCGAATTGTTCCCGTGGGTGTCCGGCCATTACCATAACCATCTGGGGAATGTGAGTAAATAAATCCTGCCCCACGCTGCCAGAGCTGGGCACCCCCGTAATATTTGGAGAGGGCGTAGGGCAGGTCCCGTTCAGCATCGGAGTGGGAGACAAGGGGTCCTGGGGGACCGTTTCTCTGGGATGAACGGATGGTCCCGCTGGTGGTTGCCCACCATCCCGGTGTCTGACCCCAGCCGGCCGAGCGCGTGAGCAGACTGCTGATGAGGTCGGGGCGGTTAACGATTGCCAGGTCCTGGGGCTGCCACTTGCTTGGCGTCACCGGGGCGGTGGCACGTGTCCCCCCCGCACCGTCAATGGTGGCTCTTGTTGATGCTGTGGTGGCGTGCCTGGATTCCCCCCGTGGAGAGGCGAGGGTCAGGCCTGGGGGTGTGGGGGGCACAACCCCTTCTCCGCTCCCGTGCCAAATTCCTGGAGCCACCCCCAGGGCCTCTGCGGCTGGAGGAGGGTCCTGGCCCACGGCAGGGGTGCAAGGGGTCAGGGATGGGTTGGGGGCTCACCTTCCCCCAGTCCCCCTTCC